TAAATAATATTTATGTTTATATCTTCATGGTACTTCCTTAAACGGTTTAAATTTACTATTGCAGTATCATCCTTATTTAAGGTGTGCACTTCAGCCCTTCCTAGAGCTAATATCTTAGACAAAATAAATGGACTATTTCATTCTCTCTTGAATTTGTTTCCAAGAGTATTTATTTTGTTTTGATACTAAAGGACCTTATTTTTTGGCTTAAGAGATTTTTAATTGTTTATCATGTCTAACTTTTTTGGTTTTTTGAATTCCATATAATTGCTCTAAGCTTAAGCTCATCTAAGTTTTTATTTTAGCAAGTCTTTGCTTAAAAGTTAAGCCATGTTTAATTGCAATACGCCAAGAGGGAATTAGAAATTTTATAAGCGTTAAAGTTTTTTAGCTATAGGTAAAACAAAATGATATCATGGCTATGGATATTTTATATGCAGTCCTATAAGCCCATAAAGCATTTAAAATTTTCTCATCCCAGTCTTTTTGATTATCCTTTACAATTTTTTTCAAGATATTTTTAAGCATTTTGTTAGTAGATTCAATTTGACTATTCTCTTGCATGTAACATGGTATGGACTTTTTGTGTTTAAGGATGAAGTCTTGTATAAGATGAAATGGGTGCCTTTATCTATAATGATCTTTTTAGGCAAACCAAATCTTACAATGATGTTTTTATAAATGAATTTGGCAATATTAGTTGTTGAGGCTTATTTCATAAGCATAGCTTTTACGCATTTAGTCATATAATCAGTGGCGACTAAAATGTATTTGTTCCTTTTACTGCTTGTCACCATAGGACTTACAAAATCCAACCTTTATTTATGAAATGCTTCATATGGATAAGTAAAATTTAGTTCATGGATTTGTTTTTTAGATAGTAGTTTATACCTTTGGTAAATATCACAATTTTTATAGAAAATTGCTATATCTTTCCAAAGCATAAACCACCACAACCCTACTTATAAGACTTTCTTAGCAGTGATTTCGTTTGCAAAATGGTCTCTTGATAGCCATAAATGAGCTTTTTTTAAGATTTCATTTTTTTCTTCTTTCCTATTAACATATCTCCTTAGTGTTCCATGGATGCCTAATTTATATAGGCGCTCCCATACGACAGAGTAAGATCATGTCCTCAAGACAAGTAACTTCTTTTTCTTTAATAAGTTATAGTGGGATGGAATTGTGCCCATAGAAAGATAGATTTATATATCTTCCAACTACGTGGTGAGCATAAAGATTGCAAATGAGTGAGCATCTAAGAGTTCATTTACCTTAGTATTATGTGACTATTTTGTAGTGATGTAGCTTAGGTAATCGGCTTGTTCATAGAATTTTCCAAGTCTATGTATTATTTCAAGATTATATTCTTGTAATAGTAAAAACCATCTAGTTAATTAAGCAGATATGCACAACTTTTTGATAAAATATAAAAAAGCCTTATGGTCAGCAAAGACAATTACTTTGTTACCAAAAGATAATGCCTAAATTTTTGTAAAGTGTAAACTATGCGTAAAGCTTCTTTTTCAATCATTATATAGTTATGCTCACCAGGATTTAAGTATTTGTTGGCATAGTAGATAGGATGATTTTTTATATCACCTTTTATCTAGGATAATTTTACGCTTGTGGCAATATCAAAAGTATCTACATATAAGTGAAACTCCTTTGTCTAATCAGGCTTAAAAAGTATAGATGCCTCTTTGAGGCATTATTTAAACCTTAAGAATGCTTCTTAAATATTTTCGTTCCATATAAATAAAGTATCTTTATTTAAAAAATCAGTAAGTGGTTACGCAATCTTAGCATAAGCTTTATAGATTGCCTATGATAGCTAACTTTACCTAAAAAGCAACAAAAACTTTTTAAGTCATGTGGTGAAAACATTGTCTTAATTACTTAAGTTTTATTTTTGTCTACAAGGATGCCTTCTTTATATACAATATGACCTAGAATTTATAAATTTATATTCCCAAATTTATAAAAATTTATAAAAAATTTTAAAAATTTATAATAAAATTACATTTCTCTGGATTAAAGAAATGTTATATTCTCTATATTTTTGAAAACATTTTTGCAAGTAAATTATTTCATTTTGGAGTTGAGGACACTAAAATCATTCATGAAAACTCTCATGAAATTAGTGAAATATTCTCTAAAAGTGTTCATAATAACTCTTTGAAATATAAAAGAAACATTGCATAAGCTAGAAGGCATTTTACAATAGATATAAGTTCCCCATAGGCTTATAAAACGCCATTTTATATTGATTTTTAAGTGTTACTTTCATTTGGTTATAGCTATAAAATCCATCTAAAAATGAATACATCTCATGATCTGCTACTGAATCCAAAATTTTGTTTGTGAAGGGAATAGGGAACATATCCTTTTTAATTGCATCATTTAGCTTTTTGTAATTCACACAAACTCATAATTTTCCATTTTTCTTAGACACAATTACAAGTGGTGAAAGCCATTGAATATTCTGGATTGGATAAATAAATCCTACCTGGGACTTTATTTTGGTAATTAGGATTCATTCTATAGGGCATTTGCATTTTTGGCATATTTCCCGAGAGTATCTCAATATAGCGCATACAGAGTTTTGGTGAAATGCTTTTTAAATTTGTGTAAGACTAAGCAAAAATGTCTTTGTAATCTTTTAGTAGATTTATGGTTTGATTGCAAAATGAATTTTGCAATTCTTAAGCAATTGTGATAATATAAGGATTATTCTCATTTGTTAAATTGATTTGCTCAAGTGGTTGATCAGAAGAAACATGCAAAACATAGTTTTTCTATTGATCAATTTTATAAACAAAATCCTGCTTTAGGGAGAAATCTCTTATAATTGAACTAACACCATACCCGACCTACCCACTATCCAGTTCCGTCACTCCTTGGCTCCAAGTTTGGGAGTTTGGCACTGTTCCTTCATTTAGTAGCCCAAGGCCCTGAACCTCGAGTTCCATACCACTGTCCTTTGGACACGTGACATATGACATGTGGCATCTGTCACGTGGCATAAAGCAGGGTTTATAAGCAAAATGTATCTTCTGATATGTGTGGTGGATTGCTAGTAAACTTTTTTATTTTATTTACCCCAATTCCCCTATTGAACTTTTATAAAGACAATGGAGGGTTGTCATTCTTTAATCTCTCCACATAGGTGCATAGGAAATCCTTCCCTTTCTACCTATGCTTAGTGTGGTTAAGATTAATTTATTGCAAGGTATATAATATATGATAGTCAATTCCCAAATAATTCATCTACTTCACATTGGGTCTTACCCTTTGACTTATATCCAACTTTGCCTTTATAACTATGAATTAAAAAGAGTGGCTTATCGCTCTTGGTAAATTTTAGGCAAACCTTTTTTAAATGGATCAATATTAGAGATTAATTTGAACGGGGCGTGGAAACCATTCTATGAAATTGCATTATGGAATCAACGCAAGAATTAAATTTTCTAGTGCATAATAGTATATTTTAAATCAATTTGCTTGTGGAATGACGTTAAGTAGCTTTTCAAACATGTGATAGCTAATTCGTGGAAGACTTTACTTCAAATTTAGACAAAATTTATTTTTCATAATCTTAACACTTTCATGTATTATAAAACTTGTTATTTGTTGGTCATTTTTTGTCTTTCTCTAAATACCTACTTTTTTTATTATTTCATATCCATTCCTTAAGTGGGGTTTTATTCCTGCTCTTAACTTTTTGAGTTGGAGATTTTGGTCTAAATATGTTATACTTGTTAGACTTCTACTTCAGCCACTACCACATGGCCCATCTTCAATTTTATTTTGGGATCTAGGAATTATTTTCTTACAGGTGATAAAATATATATTTGGGTGATTTTTCCATCCAGATTTCTATTACTTCTTTACAGAAGGGAAGCAATGATAAGCTGGGCCATTTGAGATTATTGAGAAAATCAATAATGTGGTTTATAAGTTTAAGCTTTCAACATATATGTAAATACATCTAATTTTTAATGTAATTCAACTCAAGACTTTGTTCGCAATGAGAAATAGATTGATCTAGATAAAGTTTTACAAAAGGTTGAAGAGGAATATAAACAAGTAACCTAGGGCTTCCTGCCAAAAATGACATTGTAATTAAGAAAAGTGTATGTATACTATTATTTTGTTATGCTATTGTCTTTTAGAGGGAAGAATAATGAGCCCAAGAATATTTAAAAGAATATTTTATAATAGTTACAAAATATTCTTGGATAAGAAGTTAATTTGTAACCAAAGATAGCTACAGCATGGATTGGGATTTAGTGATTATTTTTAGAGATCAATAGAATCTAGATTCTTGAAAGAGGCTTAAAGTTAAGCCATATCAGTTAGGTGGTGAATATTGTACACTAATGGAGCACCTAAGAGATCCAATGGCTATCCCATTGGTTTTTACAGTGTTCAATGAGTTAGAGCATGTGATCCTACTGTTAAAAAGAGGAGATGACATGGGTATATATATGTGGCATGAAGCATGTGCCATGCCTTTATGCAAATATTATAATGCACACAATCACATTTCCATTGTTATTATACCAATCAAGATGTGATTGTAATATTTTGTGCAATTGAAACAAAAATATATTCACAAATGTGTAAATAAAAAATGCACCCGTTTATAATCGCATATTCATTACCATATTTTAAGAAAAGCTATTCTCTCAGCTTTTGGCCTTATTCTCTCTCAATGGCTCCCTCTTGCTCTATACTTTTTTTTCTAGTGGTGGATTGCTAGCTTTGGGTACTAAACTCTCTCATGTCCAGCATTTAAGCTCCCTTTCTCTTAACAAAATGTCCATCAAAATTCCAAAATTGATGCCACAGGGAATCTAACACCAACAGATCCATTTCTGCTACTGGGATCGATCATTTCAAGAGCTCGATCTGGTATTTGTTAAAATCTATGGTACGGAAAAAGTGGTAGGGCAGAGAAGGAATAAGGCCCCACGAGGAAAAATCCTACTTGGTACTTGCATGTGTTTTTTTTTTTAGAAAAAAATTAAGATCTGCTCAGGAAATGATCTGGTCTATATACATTCTAGGCGAGCTATAGTTCTGTCCCTATTTCGTTTTGAGGTGTCTGAGTCCTTTGATTTTATTCTTACACATTTTATGGATTATTTAAATCTAAAGGCTTAAGAAGTGACCTTGCTGAGGGCTGCATGTTTCAAGTCTGGAAGGAAACCTGGCCTTGTGATATCCAAGGTGGGTGCAATGTCTCCAAGCAGCATGGCCACCACCCGTGACATTGCCGGACGGGCTGAGGGAGCTCCTTGAGTGCAGATCAACGAAACTGTCATCACTCTCTGCAGCTCTTCCTTCGGGCATGTCTCTGGAGGAAGTTTCTCGTCGACTAGATCCAGCCATTGACCTTCCTCGTATAGCTCCCAAGCCTGTTGAAAATGTTCACGAATTTAATTCACTTAATAGAGACTTTTACCCATTCCAGCAGAAATGACTTCTCAGGAGGGAGCTCAAAGTCGATGCTGCTCCGGCCGCTCAGTATCTCCAGCAAGAGGATCCCAAATGAGTAGACATCGGCCTTCTCCGTCAACTTGCCTCGGAGGGCATACTCCGGTGCAAGATACCCGCTGCAGCAGAAAGAAAATTATTCCTGAAGAAATATACAAACTTACAATGTTCCTGCGACCCTTGTGCTGAGATGAGTGTCTCCATCCTTGAGAAGCCGCGCCAGCCCGAAATCGGAAACCCTTGCATTGAATTCCTTGTCGAGAAGGATGTTGCTCGCCTTGATGTCCCGGTGCACGATTCGAGTCCTTGACTCCTCATGGAGGTATGCAATTCCACGCGCAACTCCTAGGCAAATCTCGTAACGTTTGGCCCACGGGATGTAGAGTTTGTTTGGGCCTGCCTAAGATATATTTCTCTAAATTTTAGCATTAATATGTGAACTTACCACTCAAGATAGCTAAGGCGAGACTATTGTTTTCAAGGAACTCGTAGACAAGAAGCCGGTGTTCTCCTTCACAGCAGAATCCGACCAGTCTAATCAAATTCTTGTGCTGGAGATAGGATATCGTTGAAACTTCATTGATAAATTCCTCGTTGGAAATTGAGTGAGCTTTTATTTGCAAGAACTTGATGGCAACTGGTCCAATTGTTTGTATGATTCCCTGATTGATTTCACAACCACAAACCACATCAATATTTAAATTTATGTTGTATTTACCTTGTATACTACCGCAGATCCCCCTTCTCCCAGTTTATTGGCTGCATGAAAATTTTTGGTGGCAGCAAGCAAAGTGCTGAAAGTATATCTTTGGAGCTTCGAGCTTGCAAAAGCGTTTGGTTCATCTAAGAAAAATCAAAGACAAGTTCAAGCTCATGCTAGTCTCACATGAAAAAAAGTTTAAAACTTGTCTCACTTTTGTAGAAACCAAGACGTCTACTTTGCCATATCACAACTATGAGAAGACTTGTCAATCCGAATGTCAAGGCAGTCATAATAACAATCGACAAAACCTTGAACTTGTTTGTGGGTTTTGCATTTGGAACTGGTGCCTGTTTCACACAAAACTTGTTAGCTTTTAAGAAAACAAGAGAAAAACTCACTTGAAGCACTGCATTGGTAGGGGATTCCACAGGAGGTCCAGGGGGTCCATATATATCGTCAAAATCACCTGTCTCTATTGCTGTTAGAGTAGATCTTTCGAGTTGTCAACTTACGATGACTGTCGGTTTTGCTCTTCCAAATGCTTTGAGCGCCGCCAGGTCCAGTTCCAAGATAAATCGTCAGTACTCCGTCTGGTCCAACTTCAAGCCAGACAGCCCCGGTTTTGATTTTTGTGAAAGTGGCAGACGACCATTTCGCAAATTCTGAAGTTCCAACAGTTGAGTTGTAGAGCACCAAGTTCCAATCCTGCTGGAGCCGGAGATAGCAATTAGGCTGCTGCACCACTGTGACTTTAGGCTGCCAAACCGTGTTGTTTGTAGTAGTTTCCATGACAGACAATTGGCAATTGTCCATCCTAAGCACAAATCTCTTGTCTGGTGATTCGATCATGCAGCCAGCATACAAGGTATCAAATGGAGAACCAGACAAGAGCATGCTATCGAAGCCATAGCAATATCCAACACCATCCTCCACAGTTGCGTTTTTGAGCGAGACGCAGCCATACGGTTGTTCGCCCGAGACGTAACCCACCAGGAACTGGCCGTACAAAACATACCCCGTGCCATATGATCTCTCCATGAGCTCGTCGAGCTCTTTCAGCGTTGCGTTGAAGCCCGCCTGGAGATCCTTCCCGGTTGCGGATCGGACCCAAGTGGAGTTTAGCGTCCGGCCGCACTGAGAGCGAGGATGGAACAAGAGGGTGATGGAGATGTCATCTTCTGATGGAAATCGGCGGAAGGCGGAGCCCGCGTAGTAGGATAGATCGGGGTGGATGGTAGCCAGCAAATCCCCCAGTGCGTCCTTGATCACCCCCTTCTGGTATGTTGTCAGTTGGGAATTCTCTGCAAACAAGTGTAGCGATGCAAGGCATGGGATTACACAGAGGAGCACCACACACAATTGAGAAGATGCCGCTGCACTCATCCCGATTGCCATCCTCAACGAGGGAGTGACAATGTTCTTATTTTCGTTGCGTATACATAGTTGACAGCGAGCTCGACCAGACCGTGTTCCATGAGTAGACATGAGTGGACAGCCTTTATCCATGTGCCGAGCTCACTTCCTTAAGGCCTGTTTACACAGACAAGGGGGAAGTTAGTTCTTCACATTGCCGTGTTCGTTTCGTTTTCCCAGACTTTATCTAAGACGCAAAAATGACAAAGAGCAAAAGCAAACTTTGATGTGTGATGGCATGACTGAAACTCTATGTCAGTCACCACATTAACTTCAGTTGCAGTCCATACGGTCCACTTCACGTGCTTCTTTGACTCAAAAGGAAATCCAGAAAAACTTTGTGTCATCCAGCTGAGCATGGCAATCAATTTGTAGCGTACATAAGGTTTTGTTTGGAGTCAAACAATCCTTATTACATTTTGATTTGATTGGGGTTCTGCCACATCAGTATGACACACGCCACCATATGGAATTAGGGAGAAGAAGAATCAAATGGCCCTGATGTTCCAGGAGAAAACATTGCAGCGCTCGGCAGTGTGGAAGACCTGTTGCTGGAGCACATGAAGAGCTTTCAACTCACTCATCCATGCTCTTGCAATTTGCTAGTTATAGAGGGCGTGAGCTGAAGCAAACAGTGGTGGGTGTGGACGAACTTGCCCTTGCACTGCTTCTTGCTTAGATTTATTCAAGGTCACAAACATGAGTTAAGAGTTCTCATTGTGATCTAGATAAAGTCCAAAGTTCTCATTTGATCTTAACTAAAGATACGCAAGAGAACTGTTTGCTGCAATGCCAAACCAGTGTAATGTTTCATGGGCTTCTCCGGTCCACTAAACGGCAGAAGGCAAGTGTTTGAAAAGATTCCTGATAGTGTGGAGCTCACTGGTGGCTGCTCATGCTCACATCAGAGGTACAAGAGTGCTATATAGTAATCTTTCAAACTATGGAACTTGAAGGCTTAGAATGTGAGGCACCAGATCAAGATAATAGGATAAAGAAAGAGTTTTATAATCAAGTGATCACCCTTTTAGCCAGTTAGTTTAAAGTGTAAGGGATAGAATCTTAACATTGGTATTGGAGAGGATAACAATCAAATGATCACCCCTTTAGCCAGTTGGTTTAGGGTGTAAGGGATAGGATTTTAACATTGGTATCAAAGCATTCTACAAGAATATTCAATATAGTGGATCTAAAGAAAAATGATTTAAGTATGATTGTGGACAATTATTCCCTAGTGAAGGGAGGATTGTTAAGCACCAGGTCAGGATAATAGGATAAAAGAAAAAGCCTTACAATCAAATGATCACCCCTTTAATCAGTTTACTTAGGGTGTAATGGATAGAATCCTAATATTAGTATCAAAGCCTAGTTTGATTCTCATGGCTAACAAGTGGGGTAAGAATATTCTAAAGGAATTCAACATGGTGAATCTAAAGGGAGAACCAAGGTTTGGTAAACCCTAAGAGAAGGACTATAATAACTGGAGGGTGGCTTAAAAATGATCATAAGCAATCATTCCCTAGTGAGGGGAGGATTGTTAAGCACTAGGTCAGAATAATAGGATAAAGAAAGGGCTTTACAATAAAATAATCACCCCTTTAGCCAGTTGGATTAGGGTGTAAAATATGGTTAGTTTCTTTTTAAGTCTTCGCCTAAGTTAGTTGAGAAACTGGTCATTATGAGGGATAGTTAGGAGGTCGGTATTGTTAGTTCCTTTTTCAATTTTTGCCTAAAGTAGTTGAGAAATTGGTCATCATGTATGTACTTATGCTCGGTATGAGAAATGCATATGTTAGTTTACTCAATATTCACTAGATGATAGCTTACCATGTTTGCCAAACACCTTGCTATCATGCATCTTGTATTAGTCTTATTCGGTCCCAATTGCTATTTATGGAAAGTGTCTAGATTTGCCAATTTAACATATCTATGGAATGTAGAGATTGTCTTGAACACAATGGTGTTAGTCCTGTATCCAAATTTACAATCTAGCACCATTCCATATTTAGTAAGTTTCCAGTTAATCCCAAAGACTAACTCCTAGCATATGCATTCCTCAAAGGGGTCAAAGGGGGGGCGGGAGGGGGGGTGGGGGGTGGGGTTGCTATGGGGTGTTCTAAATGTATAGTGATAATGAGTAAGTTGGGCATGGCTGATCAACCTGAGGCATAGTTTAACTTTCGCTTGCATGCTTGTTTTTGTTTTGCATTTAGCTTAAGTCTAAACCCAACTTCTATACTATGCTAGCTAGTGGAATACCTATATTCTTATGTTATGCTATTGGTAAATGCCAGACTCCATTTGGCTCCGTTTTATGTGCTGATCCTAGCATTTGGATGCTAGATGCTATAGGACTATTCTAAGTCGCTCCATGCTCTTGTCCCTTTGCTCCTTAGGTTGTACACTTGAGAGTCATTACACACTTCAGTTCCTTCACTTTTTGGCTCCATGCTTAAGAATTTGGCTCCATCCTTTCATTCAATGGCCCAAGGCTTTGAAACTTGGGTTTTGCTCCACTATTCTTGGACACATGGCAAGTGGCATGTGGCATGTGACACATGGCACATAGAGGGTTTAGGTTCTACTTTGTAGTTATACTATAGTAAATCACTATAGGATAAAGGATGAAAATCACGTGCACTACAATTAGGCACTAGGTCAGGATAATAGGATAAAGAAAGGGCCCTATAATCAATTGATCACCTCTTTAATCAGTTCACTTAAGGTGTAAGGGATAGGATCCTAATAATACATGCATCCCAAACATGGTGGTTCATAGTAAGAGCATGTGAGAACACTTGCATCATTCTCAACCTACAAAGAGTTTCGAGGAGTTCTTTGATATAGTTCATGGACTTAACAATGATAAGCATAAGTCTTGTAAGTGTTCGAAGAGTCCTTTTGTCGAGAATCATCTTGATGATCATCATGGATATAAGGATGGAAACAAGTATCACAAGCTAAAGTCTGTGGTGGGTATTTCAGATGTAAAATGGTCAAAGAAGAAGAAGTTCTTTGTGAATAATTATAGATAGGGTTTTCATCATTACGGCAAGCTTGGATACCATAAGGTTGATTGTCCATAGTTGAGGAACAAGTAGTAGGGCAAAAAGAATGGCTAATCTTCTACTAACGGTAAGTCAGATTCAAAAAAGTTGTAAACTTTGCAACATGAAGATGATGAGGATAACCATTTTGGTAGGAGGAAGAGGCTTTCGATTGTTGCTCATCAATTCAACTATGTCTGGAACGAGATGGAGCTTGAGGATACTCATAAATTAGCTTTAATGCAGAAGGGCATATTTCGTGGCAATCCCATACAAATTTTACTAGATAGTGGGAGCGATGACAACTTTGTTTAACAAAGTTTGTTGAGGAGTATGGCCTGGTGACACAAAGAGTTCTTCCATATATAGTGTAAGGTAGTTATATTTTCTTGGCATTTTGATGCTTGTGTAGAGGGGCTAGAAGTGTTAGTTGGCAAAACCACACTTCTGAAGATTTTTTATCTTGTGGATATCCATTTTTGGGATGCCATGGTTAATTGTAAGCTTCTAAATTTGGACTTCTTGGGAGGTCATCCAACCTAATACTATTCAAACCCAAGGACACTTAACCCCAAGTGTCATAGGACCCTTAACTAATTGGAAAAGAGGGTGCATTTTATTTATGGGCCATTTCCCTCTATATTTGAACCTTATAGATTAAATCTCAAGTCATTCTCTTTGGTTGCTTACAATTCACCACACTTTTTTACAAGCCCTCATGAACAAAAGGTGAGAGCCGCAACTCTCCTGAGAGCCCCACTCTCTTAACACCAATCGAGCCTAGCCAGAGTAAATTAGACCTATCAAATATTAATCAATATGTGGTGTGAATCCTCTAGCCAACCAATAAAGTTAGACGTAAGACTTATTTGATACCAAATGTAAGCTCCCGAAAGGTCACCCAGCTTAATACTATTTAAATCTAAGGACACTTAGCTTCAAATATCTCAAAACTCTTAATTGATTGGAAGAGGGGGTGCATTTTTATTCATGACCCCTTTCCCTCTATATTTAAACCCCATGAATTGTCTTTCAAGTCGTTCTTTTTAGTTGTTTGCATTAGTGAAGGTGGATCCAAAAATAAAGTGGAGTATTAAGTGTGTCTTACTAGAGCACAGTAGCATTAAAGATGTGTGGTTTGGAGAGGGAGTTCAACCTTCAGTTGTTATGCTCTCTATTATATCTTTAAAGTGGGCTTGTTACAATGAAAAAACACTTTTAAATTACTTGTTGTTTGTTTGTAACTTAGGGGACTAAAATGTGTGTGGGGAAGAAGTGGTAGTATGGGATGTATTTAAAGAGTTTTCCAATATTTTTCCATCTGAGCTTCCTCATGGGTTATCTCCATTATGAGGTCTGGAGCATGAGATTACATTGGAGCTAGGGATATGGCTAATTTATTGGCGTCCATTTTGGTTGAGTTATATAAAGGAGTAAGAAGTTCAATGACAAGTTAAGAAGTTACTTAAGTTTAGATTTATTTAGTTAAGTAAGTCTTTGTTTAATGCTCCAGTCTTACTTGTGAAGAAGAAAAATGGTTCAATACAAATGTATATTGACTACAGTGCCTTGAACAAGAAAATAGTGAAGGATAAGATGCCGATGCCACGTGTAGATGATATTTTAGATAAGCTTGGTGAAGCATGAGTGTTTACCAAGATTGATCTGAGAAGTGGATATCATCAAATTGCAATGGATAATGCATTTATTTCCAAGACAATATTAACCATAAGCTGTGGGAATTTTGAGTTTATAATTATGCCATTTGATTTGACAAATGCACTAACCACATTTACTCAGTTGATGACAAAGGTATTTGGGTGTTATCTTCACGAGTTTGTGGAAATTTTTTGGATGATATTTTTGTTTTGAGCAAGAATATGGAGGAATATAAGGTGCATTTGTGCAAGGTTTTTTTATTACTACGTGACATCAA